TCATCTGGTGAGATCGACAAACGAATCTCTTCATCATGTACTTTCATTCGAAATGAGGGTCCCCCTAACAATGCCTTTTCCATCCTTGGCATTTTCCGAAGCTTCTCTTCCTCCTTTCTCCATCTGATGATTGCCCTCCGATCTGGTCGAGGTCCAAATTCCCTCTCAGCTGCATGATTGCCAAATTCTTTGGCAAACTTAATGACTTTTAACTTAAAGCTTCCAGTGTAGACGTGTCTCTTCATTTGTTCAGCCATTTTGGAGTTTCAAAATAACACAGTAACCGATTGCTGTGTACAATGCTTGCAAGTCGCACGAAAACAAAAACAAAAAACAAAAGAGGGCTCAACGGAGCTGAAAAACCAGTTGATTCCTACTTTATAATTTTATGCATTTTTTCACGCATAAAACGTGTACTTGCTTTATATATGCCACTCCCCTACTTTTTGGGCTTGGAAATTTTGGATAAAAAGGCTCGCTTATACATGGGGAAATACGGTAATTGTTAGCTCTCGTGCCATCTATTTAGAATGCTAGCAGTCTTGTTGACTTGTACAGGTCCCTAGTCTCCCTTAGTCACTTGCCTATCTTCATCGAGAGCTGGCAAGATAGTAACATCTGGACCCTTGTTGATTGAGTGTTTCAGCGGCCCATCTTGCCCTACCAAGCTGTTTCTTTCTACTAATAGTCAATATTATCTAATAATTCTCAATTTAACCATCATAACTAATAGTTCTCAAAGAAAATAATAATTAAACTTCTACTTCCTAGTCCCGATTACTCAATAGCATCTACAAGCCGACAGCTTCTTAGTCTCGAGGATTTTATAATTCCTTCTCCAACCCAATACTTATGAGTTCAAAACTAATCCAAAGAGAAAACCGCACTTGTGGGTTTACAATAGAAATTTCCACCCAATTAAAATCCAGTTTCACTAATGAGGACCATATTCATTTTTCATTGACTATATCCAATACATTAGATTAGGCAGTACTTCATCAACGAAGATACGAAGACCAAGATGTGGTGGCCTCTATTTTGGTCGCAGTCTCCTTTCGATGTATAGTAGACATTTGACCCTGTTTTCGTAAGTTGGTCATATTGGCAGGAAGATCTAGCGGAACCCACCTTGTCCGGAGTCCATTGTCAGACCGTGGACTTGCTACATTCCCACACGTTTCACCGGCATCGTCAGTTAATCTTGCCAGTCTCAGCACCAAAGAGACAAGTCCAGGCAATCAACTGACCAACCTTCTGCGGTAACCCATCTATCCGTTTCCCATACACTTGACTCGCTGTCGTCCTATGACAACTTCGAGAGAAGACTGCCACCAAAATAAAGACGTATGAGATGAATTTACCCTATTTCGTTTAAGGTGATGATGGACGAATAGGAGAATTTTCCCACAATCATATGAGCAGAGCTGACGTTTCCATTGAATTTCACACAGCCTATGCGAGGTCGAAACTGCAGTCCACCTTGAATGAAATCAACTGTTGGGAAAGCAAGGCTATGTGAAATAGAACGGAAAGATCAGCTCTAGTCGTATCATTGTGGGAAAATTGCACTACCAGTCCTTCATCACCTTAAACGAAATAGGGTGAATAGATCTGACATAACGTGGGCCACAGCCAGCGTGCCCAGTTGAGGGGTTGCCAAGGCGACGATACTACTGATCGGTACGACGAACGGAACAAGCTGGTGAATTTATCCTTCCCTCCCCTTGATCCTGAAACCACTACGATCCAAAAGAGAGGACTAAACTTTTATCTTCAAAATGACAAAAATCTTAAGGATGACATTCTGGCGGATGTCGTCAATATCTCCGACAAGTACCTTGTGAAGAGAAAACAGGAAATGGAGATGGAAATAATCATTATAATCTTGACACGTTATGAACCAACAAACTTGAACAGACTTGAGAGGATACGCAGAACTATAAAAAGGAATGAACAATAGGTCCTTCAGGCGAACAAGGAAGGAGCAAAAGTTGTAATGGAAGAAAACAATAAACCGAGCAAATGGAATGTATACTTCAAGATAGGACTGACTACATATCGTGTACTAAAGAAGGATCCAACTATGACGATCAATGGAACCTTACCGAACATGTTGAAAGATGTGCATAGAAATGGGGAGATCATTGGATGAACACGTTGCCTAAATGTGTATCCGTTAAAATCGGCAGTATATAAAAAAATATAAACAACACTTCGCTTTCTATCGTTTGCTCATCTGTATTCCTGATGAATTAATAACACTTCCATGTTTAAAACTGTCTGATCTTGGATATTTGGTTTAAGTGAGGAGAACTAAATCGTGATGTTGGCAGCGGTCGTGAGAACTTGGAAGTTTTAACATTATTTCCTCCCTATTACTCATACTAATCTGCAACACAAAATTAAAAGCATTTTAATAGCAACTCCTCAATGGCGGTGCCCAGTGGTATTTTGTGAAAGTTGGACGATTTTTTGCCTGCTCAACCTCCAGCTCAAATGTATTCTGATATGAAGAGCAACAGGGTTTCGGTTAATCTCTTAGGACGACATTGGTTCTGTATGCAAGTGCATGAAGCGGAAGAGCTTCGAAGGTCAATCTCACCCGAAGACGACGTCGGATTGGCGTTGAATCGCAACTGTTTGTCTTCAATACCACGTTCCGGTTGACGCAGTCCACGAGACGTCCTCCCTCGGTTCGGATAAAAATGGGCTGAGCCATTCTCCATCGTCTGAGGATGGCATCTTCAGAGCTGGAATCCCTCATTTTGAAGGTCTCACGTTGAGACTCGCCCGAGAAGACTGTCCGGCTGTATCTTATCTTTCTTATTGTGAAGAAAGCCGACAAAGATGGAGCGT